CCCCAGGCCAGAGGGGCGGAGGATGTGCTGGAGATGCAGGCTCAGCATTTGCCCTGCAAGGGGACCGGGAGTGGGGCCTGGCAGCCTCCCTGCTGGGGGCCGGCCAGAGGGGCCTGTCTGGTTGGCGTTCCCAGCACCGCTTGTTCCCTGCACCAACCCATAGCCCGCACGGAACTGCCAGGCCCGTACCTTATTTGGGTCTTGTCTCCCCCAAGATGACACTTCCAGGCCTTAAAAGGCAGACCCTGTGGGTGGTGGTGGAGGGGAGACAGTTGCCACTGCTGGCTACAGAGCCTCTCCAGCTGGGCCCCAACCCCAGCTTGGCCAGCCTGTCCCTCCAGCTGTGGCCAACACTGTTCACCACCAAGCCCGACCAGCCAAGCCAGCCTGCTTCTCTCAGCAGGGGGTGGGGGTCCTGGCAGGAAGCTCCCCCTGCCCTCCCAAGCAGCCGTCTGCTCTGGTTTGCATTAAAACCAAGGCTGGATCCACTTCAGCCTGTTCTGACCAAGTGGAGCAGGGCCGATGGGGGACAGCGGGTGCCAGGGCCTCCTGTGTATTCTCATCTGGGTCCTGAGGGCGGACACAGCCTCAGTGCTGCAGCTGGCCGTCTCAGCTGCCCCTTCTGCAGATGGGGAGGTAGGCAGGTCCCTGAGGGACAGGGCACATGGGTCGAGAAAGGACAGGGCTGAGACCTGACACAGTCACCATGCAGCTCACTGAGGGTGATGGGGTGCCTCCTGCCTCCCTCCCAACCCCCACCCCACTGCTAGCCCTCTCCCCAGCCCGATCCATCTGTATCCTTTGCTCCAGCTCAGCCCAGTTCATCCTGCGTGACCCAGGTCAATCACCCCCACCTCACCCAAAGCTGGGCTACAGTGGTGGCGGGGCGGGGGCTTCCGCAAGCAGGCCTCTCACCTCACCTGTCTCAGTTGCAGGCTCCCCCAGCCGAGTGGTCCCCAGGTGGTCAGGTAACAACGTGCAACGAATGGTGCTTCGACCCACGGCCTTCTCAGGTGGGTGCTGGGGGCAGCAGCTTGGGGCTCCCCATGGCTGGAGGGAGGACAGAGCAGTATGCTCACTGTCCTGAGCCACTTGGGTCCAGCTGGGGAAGCCCAGGGACACCTCCACCTCACCCTGGAAAGAGACCTCAGATGGGGAGAGGAAGGGCCCTAGGGAGAGGGCTGTCCTAGCCACAGCACCCAAAACCCAGGTGCCAAGGAGGCAGGTCCAAACGGCCGGTTCCTCTAATTCAGCGGTTCTCAACCTGTGGGTTGCAACCCTTTTGGGGGCGGTCAAACGACCCTTTCACAGGGGTCGCCTGATTCATAACAGTAGCAAAATGACAGTGATGAAGTAGCAACAAAAATAATTTCATGGTTGGGGAGGGTCACCACAACATGAGGAGCTTTATTAAAGGGTCGCGGCATTAGGAAGGTTGAGAACCACTGGTCTAATTGAACCCAGCCCTTAGCAAGCACCTGTAGTGTGCAAGGTACCCACCAAAGCCCCCAGTGCCCCCAGGGAAGTGTCACGGTTCCCATCTTAGAGAGGAGACAGCTGAGCCCCAGCCCCATGGCTGGCAGGGGCATCTGGGGACTTCCTGCTCACCCAGAGCCTTAGGGGTGACCTGGGTGACCCAGAAGCAGCGAGGAAGGCTGGGAGGAGGCTGCGCCTTCCGGCCAGGAGGTGCTACCAAAGGCTGAATGGTCAGGGGGGGGCGTTGGCCATGTGTAAGTGAGGAAGCTGGGGAGCGGACGTGGTGACGCTGGAGGGTGCTCCCTGAGGAAGGCTTGGAGGCGGCACCTCACAGGCCATCCAGGCAGCTGGTGGCCCCAGCACCCACAGCTCAGACCCTGGCATCATCCAGGTGGCAAGTGGTGGCAATCCCCACCCCAGGCTGGTGCCCGGAAAGGGTCATTCTGGATGCAGAGGCTGCCAGGTGGAGTCCCTGCCTGTAGGAGAAACAGGGCCTTTCTGGAGACGCCACTAGGGAAGTGACGCTGGACTCCCACAGGGCCTGGCCCACCCTGGCTGGGCTCCTCCGGGGGCTGCCCTCTCCCTCCTACCCGCCATAGGGGGAGCCAGGGACCCCGGAGACGGGCCCCAGCCTCCTCCTCCCTCCTCACAGGTTGTCTCAACTGCAGCAAAGTATTGGAGTTAACAGAGAGGCTGAAGGTGCTTGAGGCCAAGGTGGGTGAGGGCGTGCCCCTGGTCCCTCCTGCCCCGCACTGGGCAGCGCCCAGCACCCCCTGGCTCCCCACCCCCTTCTCTTCTCCCTTCTCTTCTCCACAGCGTGCTTGCTCAGGGCCCCAGAGTGCACGCTGAGCTGCACCCCAGCACGCCCACCCCCCAGGGCCTCGGGGATGCCCACCTGGTCTGGCAAGCACTTCCCTCCCACCTCTCTGCCCTCCAGTGCCCACTCCCCAGGAAGCTTGCTACCAGTCAGACGCCTCACCTCGCCTCCGTTCACTCAGGCCGCTCCACCTCCACATCCCTATAGCTCCAGCTGCACCCCTCTTCCAGGAAGCCCCCCCTGATGCTCCCTCACCTCCTCCCAGTCACATGCACACAGACTCCCTCCCCCTAAAGGTAGGGGCCCCCCTCCACCATCACCTTCCCTTCCTCTCCACAATATTCTTCCCAGCCACAGAGTCAAAACACATACCACACACACATCTCAAACTATTTAGACCCCTACACACATGCACACAGCTTCCCGCTCCCCCACCCCCACTCCCACCCCACAGTTCTCTCATGGGAGAATCTGTGATGGGCAGCTCAGCCCCAGATCCAAGGTGACGCTTGTCAGTTCAGGGTCTGCTGGCTGATGAGGTGCAGCGTTTCTGTGGACAGGCTCCACATGACCCCCCTCCCACAGCCAGCAGGCCTCGGGCCCTGCCCGATCCTTAGCAGCTCAGGCTGGGGAGGGGACATTGACACTGAGGCCCATAAAGTGCACTGCTATACACTACCACCACCCGCTAGCCACCAAAGGGTCCGTTCCGACTCTTGGGGACCCCGGAGAAGCGTGCCCCAGGGCTTCCCAGGCTGCCACCATTTGGAAACAGATCTTGATCTTCCCAGTCTCCACGCTGGCTTGTTCCTGGTGAGACCCGGTACTAACTCCAGTCCCGTGGCCCCCTCCCTGCCTTCCCAGGTGGCTATGCTAACAGTCTCGGGACAAGCCATGCTGCCAGCCCCAACTGCCCCCGAAGACCCTGCCCCACTCTGGGGCCTGCCTGCTGCCCAGGGCAGCCCTGGAGATGGAGGCCTGCAAGGTGAGTTGGTGGGGGGGAGGGGGACACTGTCACCACCACCCCACCCCACTGCTGACCCCCATGGGAGGACTGTCATCCTATCTCTCCAGAGGGTGTGAGGTGGTGGTCTGTAGGGACCCGGCCTCCGGGGTGGATGGAGCTGAGGGTGGGAACTCTGGGTGACTGTCCCTCACCTAGGCCCAGCTGGGACACTGACCCCTGCCTACTCAGGGCCACCAGGAGCCAGAGAGAACGTGAGGGCCCCACTGCTCTCTCGAGATGGTAGGTGCAGACTGAGGGGCAGCCGGGCTGGGGGCAGGAGCAAGGGCCAAGCTGAAGCCTGATGTGTTTTCATCCCCAGACCAAGTAGGTGCTCGGGGGCTGCCTGGGCCCACTGGCCCCAAGGGGGACACCGGCAGCCGTGGCCCAATAGGGATGAGAGGCCCGCCAGGTAAGGATGGGAAATTCTGCTGCACTCCCAGCCCTCTCTGGTGGGGACAGGTGGACCCTGCCCTGCCTGCCTCTGATAGAACCCAAGGTGGAGAGAGCACCTGCCTGCTGGTCTCCGCTCTGGCCTGGGGCTCCTGGAACTCTGTCTTACATCCACACTCCTGGGCCCCTACTCCCACCAGACTCTGAATCAGCCACAGGCCAGGGGGCTTGGGCGGCAGCATTCACCTCCTGATGGAACCAAGATCCCCTCCACCTCCCAGGGCTCAGCGCATGGAGTGCCAAGTTCAACCCCATCTACGTCATTAATGCATGGCTGGGTCTCGGTTTCCTCACATGCACAGTGGGGATGTCAGGGGTACGGGTCCCCGAGGCAGGAGGCTCAGCCACAGGCAGGATGGGCCGGGGGTCCGGGAGGACTGCAGCTTGAAGGATGGCCTGACATTTGCACCAGGCAGAGCAAAGGCAGGACTGATAGCAGGAACAGCACACGAAACCTGGAAGTGCAAGGAAGAGAACATTCGGGAAATCAGTGTGCTAGCAGCTCCGAGGAAAAGCCTGGTGAACTTCCTCCGTAAAAAAAATTAAAAGCCGGGGTCTCGAGGGAGGAGATGAGCCAGTCAGGGTGCGATGTAGCAATGATGAGAAATACAACCTTCCTCTAGTTCCTAAAGGTTTCCTCCCCGCTCCCACTACCATGACTCGAATTCGACCTTGCAAGTCTGGCTAGACCAGAGGAGGTACACTGGTACAGATAGGAACTGAAAATACAGGGAATCCAGGGCGGATGAGCCCTACAGGACCAGTGGTGTGAGTGGCAAAACAGGGAGGGTAAAGGGAGAATGGGTAGGAAAGAGGGAACCGATTACATGGAGCTGTGTGTGACCTCCTCCCTGGGGGACAGACAACCGAAAAGTGGGTGAAGGGAGATGTCGGACAGGGCAAGATATGACAAAATACCCATTTATAAACTATCAAGAGCTCATGAGGAAGGGGGGAGCGGGGAGGGAGGGGAAAAATGAGGACCTAATGTCAGGGGTTTGAGTGGAGAGAAAATGTTTTGAGAAACGATGTACAAATGCGCTTTACACAATTGATGTGTGTATGGATTGGGATGACAGTTGTATGAGCCCCTAATAAAATGTTAAAAAAAAAAAAAATTAAAAGCCGTGGAGCACAGTTATGCTCTGACACCCAGGGGTCAGCAGGAGTTAGAATGGACTTGACCGCAAGGGCTGGGGAAGGTTGTTTGCTTTGGGGGGAGGTGCCAATTGTCCATTCTCATAAAGACCCTGGGGAGGGGTATGTTCCTCTCTCTAACAGGCGTGGAAACAGAGGCTGACCTGGCCACACTCACACCTCCGTCCCAGCCTACCTGTCCTGCCCTCAGCTCCTGGAAGCCACCTTGAGGCTATCCCTGCCTCTTGCACACCCCTGGTTCTGTTGCAGGTCCACAGGGCCCCCGAGGGAGCCCTGGACAGGACGGAGCTGTGGGAAGCCCTGGAGAGAGGGGGCTTCCGGGTCCCCCAGGGCCTCCTGGTCCCCCTGGTCCCTCAACCCCCATTGGACCACCCTACACTCAGATATCTGCACAGGGTGAGTCAGCCCTGCGGGGTCACACAGGTGCAGGGTGGGAGCGGGAGGTTGGGAAGGCAGACTGGAAGGCACCAAAACTTAGACCCTTCCCCAGGGCCCACTGTACGAGTATGCCCCGCCACATGCCAGCGGTCTCCAGCAAGTTACTGCTCTCTGGGCACAGAGGAGGAGACTGAGAGGCAGAGAGAGGGCCACTTGCCAGGGTCAGCCTCTGCTCAGAACCTCCCAGCCCAGCCCATCCCACCATGCCCTGCAGCTGGCTGGGATCCAGCCCTCAGTGCATGGGGAAGCTCAAGGCCCAGCAACAGGAAGCCAGCCCGGGCTCCCAAAGCCACCATCTGGCCCTGGGATCCCCTCCAGCCATCTGGGCGCCTCCCCACCTGACAGGGCTCAAAGTGTGGAGTGCCAAGTTCAGCCCATCTATGTCTTTAGTGCATGGCTGGGCCTCAGTTTCCTCATCTGTACAGTGGGAGTAGTGACAGTGCCCAATCTCCCATGCACAGAAGCCAGGTACATAGTTGGTGTTTAATAAATGGCAGCTTTTACTATCCCATTTCATAGGTTCCAGTACAGGCTCAGCCAGGCGGATGTTCCAGCTAGACGGGGGAGGGTGGTGGTGGTTAGAATGCAGGACTCCCTGTCTACAGATACGGGCTTTGCTGTTGACCTTCACTCCTCCTGTCCACTGCCCATTACCCCTGCCCCCCACCTCCCGTGGCCCCAGCAGCACTGCATGCAGCCCCACCCAGCCAGCCCTGCTTAGTCACCACCTCTCTTCTCCCAGGAGACCCATTACTGTCCAACACCTTTACCGAGACCAGCAGCCACTGCTCCCAAGGATGTGCTGGGCCCCCGGGCCCCCCAGGCCCCATAGGTAAGTTGATTTCAAGCCTAAGATAAGGAATGGTGCTTGGAGATGCAAAGGGCTGTGGCTACCAAGATTGACTCTCCAGGAAGGATCGTGGACATCTTGGCATGGTACCCTGCACGTGACTTAAGAACACCTCTCTTATTCCAGGGCCTCCTGGGCCTCCTGGTCCCATGGGCATCCCTGGGAATCCTGGACACATAGTGAGTAATTCTCGAAGTATTCTTTTTTTATATATAATCATTGTATTAGGGGCTCATACAACTCTTCACAATCCGTACATACATCATTTGTGTCCAGCACATTAGTACATATGTTGCCATCATCATTCTCAAAACACCTGCTTTCTACTTGAGCCCATGGTGTCAGCTCCTCATTTTCCCCCTCCCTCCCCGCTCCCCTCTCCCTCTAAGTATTCTTACCTATCCTTTTATCCATCTACCCCTCCGTCCATCCCTCCATCCATCTACTCCTCCCATTGATCCATCCTTCTCCCCACCTTTCACCTACCCTTTCATCGTCCCTCCATGCATCCATCCATCTAGCCACCCCTCCATCCTTCCATTTCTCCATCCACCCATCCATCCATCCTCTCATTCATCCAGTAGTCATTTGTTATTGGGGCTGGGGGATTATTCTCCATAGCTCTTTTGATACATTCCATGTATCAAGTGGCAAGTATTACTATCACCTGAGGCTAACAAAGTCAGAGCCTCTGGCCCTAGGGCCGCGGTGGCACCTGGCCATGTCCAGATGAGGGTGGAGACTGGTTTGAGGGCTGGACCTCACACTGAGCTGTATGATCTGCTGGCTACTACGGGGCAGGCACTGGCCATGTGAAGAGCCCAGAGGCTCCAGTCCAGATGGGGCCTTTCCCTCTGCCCCTCCACTCATCCCACCCCACCCCAGCACAAGGCTGAGGCTCTGTCTTACTGCTTAGGGACCTCAAGGCCCCACTGGTCCTGAAGGAATCTCCGGCCGCCTAGGAGAGAAAGGCGAGCGAGTAAGTATCCAGGGGGAGGGGGAGGTGGTTATGGGGCTCCTTGGACCCTAGCTCAGACCCTTCCCACAGCTGACTCCACCCTTCTTCTCTTCTCCCAAACAGGGATTGCGGGGGGAGCCTGGCCCCAGGGGCTCTGCTGGGCAGCAGGTGAGTTATATAGCCCTCCCGGATCCCATAATTCACCAAGCTCTGCCCTGGCTCCACTATCTGGGGCCAGAGCCCCTGGCTTGCCCGGCCGGGTTCAGAGCATGCTCCTCTTCCTGCCAATTGCGCCCTGTCTCTGGGACCTGTCTGCTGCAGGATCAGGTCATGCTGTCTCCCTTAGTTTGGCTCCTTCAGTTTCTACTTCTCTGTCTCTTTTTTTAAATCATTTTATTAGGGGCTCATACAACTCTTATCACAATCCATACATACATCAGTTGTGTAAAGCCCATTTGTACATTCATTGCCCTCTCATTCTCAAAACATTTCCTCTCCACTTAAGACCCAGGCATTAGATCCTCATTTTTCCCCTCCCTCCCCTCTCCCCCTCCCTCATGAGCCCTTGATAATTTATGAATTATTATTTTGTCATATCTTTCCCTGTCCGATGTCTCCCTTCACCCCTTTTCTGTTGTCCATCCCCCAGGGAGGAGGTCACATATAGTTCCTTGTAAT